TTCTACGCGTCCGCGAGTGCCCCTCTCAAGCATCGGCGCATCACTGGCAGCAACCATGCTCGCCTTACACAGAGCGCGATTGCAACTGGACCCGCCCGCCCGTTCGACGAGGACCGCATTCGATCTCCAGATCTGGCCGGCGGGCCCCCAGATGGCGTTGACCGCGGGGGCGCGAAGCCCCCCGACGCCCCAATGGAATCCGAATGCAGACGGCTGTCGGGCTACATTCGAATAGCGTGACGACGAACAAGATGGGCGCCCTATGATCACCCACGGTTGGCACCGATAACTGATGGATACCGAACGCCAGCACGTCTAATCATTTACCCTTGCTGAACGACTTCGGACCTCCTCGCGATCTCCGTCGCAGCTTTCCCTGTGGGCATTGTGCTTCTAGCCTGCGAGCATGAGAGTTCCATATTCAACGAGGACTTCGCAGTATTACGCGTGCATGAACAGAGTGACGCATTGTTTCTCACCAGCGTTCTGGCGCGCTTGTGTTGTCTATAGAAGTGTTGAGCAATGGCGATACCGAGGACCGCTTTTACCTTGACTCCGGCGAGCGCGGAAGGCATCTCGAATTCTGTTTCAGCGAAGAGAGAGCAAAGACATCCGTGGGCGAGCCTCAGTCGGAAACCGTGCCACGCGACGACCTGGCGAGGGTTCGCGTTCACATTTCAGCCGAAGGCGAAGGGGCGACGGCGGTCGAAGAGAGCGACCTGCTCAACCGGCAGAACGTCGTCAACCGCCCGAAGCAGGTTTCATTCGTCTTGGCTGAAGTCAAGATCTGCCTGGACAACTTGTGTTTCGCCAAGGAGCTGTTGTCCAAGGCCCAGAACGTCGCGGCCCCGGGGCGCGCGCGCGCGAAAGTTCGCCATGGCAGATTCAGGAGACAGCAAACAATGCGCGACCTCGCTTGCATTGCGAAGTTTCATGGACCAAGAGGCTTCCCCCTTGAAGTCGTTGTCAGGAGTGGCGCGACTCACTTCCCAGCGCCAGTTGGCAAGTGGGCCGGGGCGTCGCGGCGATTGGAACCCGGCCAGTCTCGACACATGCAAGGTTCCTCTCATAGGGCCTGCGCGCCGAGAACTGGCCGGAGGCGCAGGTGAACAGGGGCGCAGTGCGCGTTTCATTTTACTCCCCCGCAGTGATGCTGTCATTCGCACATTGCCCCGTGCACGGCACCCGCGCCAGGGGCGCTCCTCGACCCCCCCCCTCGTTCGTTCTCAGAAAGACGGGGTGGGGGGGGGGGCGTCGGCCTCGAGCCCGTGTCTAGCGACCAGGAGTCCGCGGCCGCCGATGACCTGCTCGCGGCGCGGGCGGCGTCGAGCTGCGCGGCGAAGAGCCCCGCGCAGACGCGCGCGTCAAACATGTCGAGCAGGTATTTGGTTAGGCATTCGCAAGCTGAACAAACGCGCCCTCTCGAACTGCGCGGTGATATGCGGCGCCGCCCTGTCTGCCCACGCGGCTGGCGTTGACTGTCGCGCGCGATCAGCCGTGGCGCTGGGCAGGAGGAGAAGGCGCATCTCCTGTCCCGTCGACACCACCAACCTGCCTCTTTCCACTTAGAAATACACGTCCCGTGACATGGCGACTGCCGGTCGAACTCCTCGGCCCCGGCGGCGCCCCGGCAGGGCGCAGTTGCGACCGAGCCGCTTGGGGAAGTGGGGGCCCGGGCCCTGGGGGAGTTCATTAAGATGCGCAAGACTGTACTTTGCAGGTCTGCATGAGCCTTGGGGTATTCCGTTGCGTGCGGAAGGCGCAGTGGCGGATTTCCAACGTCGCCAAAATCTTAAGAGCCCATTGCGGCCAAGGCCCGCAGGGGGCCCGCCGTATTGAGCCCGCGGAGCGGGAGTCACAGCGGGCTCGCAAGGGGAACCGAGCTCGCAAATTTTGCGATCCGTCGGTATTCGGAGTTTCCAGTTTGACGAAGGTCGTTACCACTTGTTGCAAGTTTACCTTGAAGTCATTTGTGTTCCATTGAGGGTTCTAGGCGTCTGGCGGCCTTGGGAGTTTTTTGAGCATCGCTCGAGCCATTTGGGCGGGCATACAAGAGTCTTCGGGCATCAATGGGGCACGAAGTACGTGGGAGGTGGGCCGCGCTCGGGGAGTGCATGGTCACGACGTGCGTGATGGGTTTCGGTTTGGGGTGTCTCTGGGCCATTTTGTTGGTCCCCTGGGTCCATGAGACACGAAGTGCGTGAGGTGTGTGTGTGTGTGTGTGTGTGTGTGTGTGCGTTTGCGTGTGTGTGTGTGTGTGTGTGTGTGTGTGTGTGTGTGTGTGTGTGCGCGTGTGTGTGTGTGTGTGTGTTTGTGTGTGTGTGTGTGTCCGTCCGTGTGTGTGTGTGTGTGCGCGTGTGTGTGTGTGTTTGTGTGTGCGCGCGTGTGTGTGTGTGTGTGTGTGTGTGTGTGTCTGTGTGTGTGTGTGTTCGTCTGTCTGTGTGTCTGTCTGTCTGTCTGTCTGTCTGTCTGTCCGTCCGTCCGTCCGTCTGTCTGTATGTCCGTCCGTCTGTTTATGTGTATGTGTGTATGTGTGTGTGTTTGTGTCTGTCTGTGCGTGCGCGCGCGTGTGTGTGTGTGTGTATGTTTGTAGTTCCCATTTCCGTCTCCTGCCCTCTGCCCGTTCGTTTTCCGTTTCGCCATTTTGTTGTCTTTTCCGATCCATCTTCTTTCGCCCTCGCCCGCCCTTCCGCCTCACTGGCCCCTGTTTCCGTCCCGCTTGGTCTTTCTTTTCAGGTCCCCCATGCTTCCCGTCGCTGCTCCGTCGCCGTCCCGGCAGTCGATATCCTAGTCTGTGTTTCCCTTTCGCTTTACCTATCGCTTTCGCGCTCGCACTCCGGCTACTGACCAACTCACCGATGTGCTGCAGAGCGTGCAGATGCCGTGTAAAATATAGATGAAGCATCTCGACCATGTGCGGTCCTTGCCTCGTCCGCGTGCGTGTGGCATTCGGCTCTCGCTGGGCTGTTGCTCCCGTTTTGGCCGTCTCTGGCCACTTCGGGGCCCGCCTTGCTGGCGTCTTTCGGAGTTTGGTTTGGCCCGCACCCTGGCGTCTCCATTCAGCCTGATTGCCGATCGGCGTCCGTCCTCCCCTCCATCTTCTCCTCTCGGCGGGAAGCCCCGCCTGGGCTGCTCTCCATCGGGGGCCGCTTGTTTCCGCATTCCACCTGGGGCGGCGCCCCAGTCGGGTCGCTCCCCCGGCGTCGTCGTCCCCAAACCGCCGCAGCTCGTGTGGCGCTGTTTCTGTTGGACGGCAGGCCCAGCCGCCGGTGCCGCGCTTGGCCGCCGCCTCCTCCCCCGTGGCACACGGGGGGCAGCTGCAGTTCCATAGCCAGGCATCCCAGCCACCTTGCCTCCCCTTCCTGCTCCTCGTTTTTCAGGGTCCTCCCCTGCTGTTCCCCCTCGGCCGTCTGAAGACTGTCGCGCTTGGCCTTCGCCTGGCACGGCCTGCAGTTGACGTGCCACAATTTCAGGGTTGTCTGCAGTTGGTGTCTCCAGGCTGCCCAGCCACCTCTCCGTCTCGTCCGCGCTCTTTGCCTGCCTTTTTGCTCTCTCTCTCTCTCTCTCTCTTCTGCCGCTGCCGCTTTGCTCAGCCTGCTCGCCTGTTCTTCGGACTCCGCCCACCTGGCTTGGCCTGCCAGTGGTGCCTCTTGACTCGCCTCTCCGCCATCTGCGCCCTGTCTCTGCCCTGCACAGCCTTGTTTTCTTCCTCTTGTCCGCCACTGTGCTCTTCTGGGAGTCCAGTCGCGCCACGTATTTCACAAGGGAGCCAATTCTAGTCTCCGGTGTCTGAAATCGTAAAGACTCCGCCAATTGGACTCTGTGGCGCGTCGGAGGGACATGAGTGTGCGTGTGTGTTCCAAATTGACGCTCCCTGAGTCCGTCTTGGATTGCTAATTGAGTGCCCGTTGAGGGCCTTGCGGGGACGAAGTGTGTGTGTGTGTGTGTGAGGATTGTGCCTCTCTGCTGCAGGGCAGTCTTCGCGCTGGTGTGGAGTGTGCCGAAGTCCTCATGGCCTTGTGAGAGCCGAGTCTTTAAAGTTTTACGCGTTCAAGAAGACAGGGAACGTAGATGCAGTGTACTACGGGAGGAAGAGCGAAGCCATTTTCGTTCGGATTCAATTGGAGGGGGAGAACGAGGGGGAAATGCGCACGCAGAAATCGAAAGTCCTCCCGTTGGGGGGATTCGAAAACTGGGCGTTTCGAGTGATACGTCTCCCCAACATAATAAGCTACGAGGGAATTGCTTCTCAACGTTTTCTTCTTCTGGGTTTTACGGAAGGGTCTATTCTGACGGGGTTGGGACAAGGATATTCCGTTCCAGTGCGTTCCAGAACATTCTCCGGAACGTTCTGAGAAGGCCGCGACGCCCGATACATTTTCCAGAGCCGCCAGATCTTAAAGATTTCTCGTTTTATCCTCTCCCGATGGCATCCTCGTCCTGGCTTCAATTTACCCATGATGAATGGCATTAGAAGAATCCAAGATGGCCCCAACAGAGCCCAAACAGGTTCCCAGGATGCCTCCAACCTGGTCTCGAAGCTGCAATTTCGCGCGAGATTGCATCCGAACATGGAGATGTCGCATACGGGTCTCTAGCACACGCCTCGAATTGCATACGAGTCTCTGGCCCGCCGCTTCCGACAATGACGCTACGACGAGTAGACTGGTCACATTCGACTGATGCTTCTTCTCTTCTGGATCCGCTTGCTCAACCTGGATTGACCCAGGGCATTTCGCACCTAGCGCGGGCATGCCAACATGCGATGTCGCCCTATTCCTCTCCTTCGCTGCTGCTGCCTTTGCTCTTTCCTTGTGTGCCTTGTGACGTTCGGATTCGTCGCCTCTTCGTAGCGGTGCGGACCGTGTCATTACACACTTCCTCATACAGCGCTGTTCAATCGCTGATGGGCTCAGTTCGAACTCGTACCCGCACCGCTCCAGCTCACTTCGGAGACGTGTGTGGATGGGTTCAGCGAAGCTGCGGCCCCATGTTTGAAGGCGATCCCGAGCCACAGCGTCCAGGCGCGCGCATGGGGTGTGCGGCCGCGGGGCTCTGCAGCAGCAGGAAGAGGAGGATAACGAGGAGAAGGAGCAGCAGCAGCAGCAGCACCACCACCACCACCATGGGCAGTGTCATAGAGGGCTGGCTTCCTTATCGGCTCCGTCGTCGGGCGTGGTTCTTGTCTTTAGCCGCTCCACTCCTCCTAGCAGCTTCACTCTCGACCTTGCCTCTCCGCTCCTTTCATCGGTTCATTTCCGTTCATCAGTAGATGCAGGTCGTCACTCACATCAGCCATGAACCAGGGAACTTTTTCGACATTGACAAGGCTCGCCATATTACAGTCGCCCATTCTTTGGCCTCAACAGCCCGAGATTCCCTTCAATTAGCTATTAGCTGGCACTAGCTACACATTGACCTGGATTGTGCTCGTATTGTTTTGGAAGGAACAGGCGGCTTGGAAGAGGGCGACGAGGATGAGGACAATGAGGAAGGGGAGGAGCAGGAGGATATGGGGGTACTGGGACAGAACAAGAGGAGAAGGCAGAGGAGGAGGAGGAGGAACAGGTGGAGGAGGAGGAGGAGGAGGAGGCGGCTCACAATATTCCCTGCTTTTGGGGTTCCAAGGGGCGAACTTGTGACAGAGCTGGGTGGGAGCATAACATGTACTCGTATGTTTCTAGCCTGAATAACTTCCAGGTGGCTACCTTGTTCACGGATTTGGCTAAATTCTACGAGTATATCTCGCATAATAAGCTCATGGTGGAAGCTCGCGAGACGGGCATGAATCTCAGACTCGTGTTTATCGCTTGTCGGGTGTATTCTGGAGCGCGGACCCTTAGTTTTCAGAACGCCATAAGTGATATATTCTATGCAGAAGGCACGGTCTTGGCGGGATGCACCTTGGCAACGAGCTTTGCGCGTACGCTCTTGTATAGGCTGCTGCATTCGATTAGTCAGCAACACCCAGCTGTGCACGTTCGGAACGTAGTGGACGATGTCCACGTGCAGGCGCTAGGCTCCGAGGCGTTCGTGACCAAGGAGCTTGGGGATGTCGGTGTAAAAATGACCAAAGGCTTCCGTCGTCTTGAACTGGTCTTGGCGGACCACAAGAGCCACTTCATTGCATCCTCTGCCCGACTTGCCAAGGGTCTTGAGCATCGATGGCAGGGCCTCCGCTTCTCCAGGAAAGGGGTGGTCCGCAGCCTGGGATCGGATGCTACGTGTGCTAGGAGGCGTCGCAACCCCACCTGTAAGTCCCGTCTGCTCAAGGGGGCCAAGAGGAGCTGGAGACTTAGGCGCCTCAGAGGAACTGCGGCCATTCATCGGGTACAGCGTGCTGGGCCACAAGCGACGGCTCTATGGGGCGCTCCTGTCACTGGGCTCACTGGTGCTCAACTTCGAGGCCTTCGGCGAGGAGCCCTGAATAGCCTTCACAAGGTGAAGGGCACGGCCTCATTGGGGCTCCGTCTACACTCGTCTGCAGCTGGTTTAAAGATGGACCCCATGGTCCTGTACCATAGCCAGGTTGTGCTTTTTTGGGCTCAGGCTCTCTGGGACGGGAGACCCTCTCTCCAGCTCCTCCAGCAGGCGCTTCGTGGGGCTTTGGAAGAGCTACAAGCTGCCAAGTTCGCGTGGACTGTCGTGAAATCCCCAGCCCATGTGTTTGTACAGACGGTCAGGGCCCTAGGCTGGCAGGTGATTGATGCCAAGACCCTCCTCTCGGAACGGGGGGCCACCATCGATCTGTTAGCGCTAGCCCCGAAGCAGGTTGCTGCTCTGGCCAGGGTCTCTGCCGCCTATGTTTCAGATGTTATCGCCCTGGGCAGCAGGTCGTCCTCCCAGGTCTGGCTAAGGCCGATTTTCTGGGGCCCCATCAGAGAGGCCATCGAAGGGCCGTGCAGGTGCCTGTGGACGCCTCACCATCAGGAGGCGGTGCGTAGCCTGCTGTCGCAATGTCACTGGACCCAGGCCCGACTGCATGCCCACGGGCTGGCGGAGTCGCCACTCTGTAAGTTATGTAGACGTGCGCCAGGCACGCTGTTCCATCGTAGGTTTTGTTGCGACGCGTTCGAGGGTGATCGCCGCGCGTCCCTTGACCCTTCGGTGCGCCAGCAGGCGCGGCAGCTTGAGGAATGGTGTCAGGACCTTGAGAAGGCTGCCGCTGGCATATTCCCCGCCCCTCTTGAGCTCGTCCCACCCCCGTTGCATTGCGGTCAGGCCCACATTGTTTGGGTCAATCGGCCAGCCAGCGGGGCCCTCTCGGGGAATATTTTTTCCGACGGCTCCGCCATGGACCCGACTGACCCCCTGCTCTCGCGGGCTGGTTGGGGCCTCGCTCAGGTGGACGACGACGGTGGTTTCGTTTCGGGGTGTTACGGGGCGGTGCCGTACGAGCAAGGCCCCTTCCAGACAGCGCGAGACGGGGAAGATTTCGCCATCATGATGGCAGCCGCAGGGTGTGTGGACACACTCAGTGAGCATCGTTTCTTCATAGATTGTGCTGCCACGGTCGCGGCCTTTCAAGACCCGATCGGATCGGTGGAGGCAGGATCCCGCAGTGCGCACCTGTGGAGCCGCGTCCATTCAGTTCATGACGCAGGCCCGCCCTCGGTCACCAAGGTGAAGGCCCACTGCTCTTGGGGAGATGTCGATGCGGGCCGCACCACCACTTTCTGTAAGCTCGGCTCGGACCGAGCAGACGAGCTCGCCAAGAAAGGGGCCCAGCTCCACCCGGCCACGAGTGAGGCCAAGAAGCAGATTCGGGCCCTCAGCTCCTTTGTCACTCAGGTGCTGCGCTGGGCGGGAGAGCAAGAGGTCCATATGGCGGAGCGAGGCATCCGCGACTCGGACCCCCTCCCTGACAAGGCCCAGCGGCAGGCGGCCAAGGTTGAACGTCTGGCTCGCGGTGAGGACCCTTCCCAGCAGCTCTCGCTCCCGAGGCTCCGAATCGCCACCGATGCCTTCCTGTGGGCTGAAGAGACCCCTGAGCTGGGCATGTTGATGCGTCTCACCAAACACGCTCTTGCCTGTGCACGTGTCTTCGGTCCCGACGGATTGCCGATCTTGGGAGGGTCCACTGTTTTATTTTGCACCTGTTGTGGTGCGTATTCGTGGGGAGGAGCCAAGAATCTATGCCAGGACTGCTCGCCCACGATGATCACTGTGGCGCTCAGGCGCCAGCGGAACCGAGCTGCGAAGGGGCAGTTCCCGTCCTGGGCCCCCCAATATAAGGGTTGGTCGATAGGGCCCCCACGCACGCCTTCACTGCCAGAACTGGCGGCGGTCGCCTGCCTTGGACTTCGAGGAGCAGGCGCGACCCTCCTCCAGCCTGCTGGGCCAGGTAGTGACGGGGAGGCGGCGGTGGAGGGGGTTTGGGGGGAAAAGTGGACGGCCCAGCAGCTGAGCGCTAGGTTCGGTTTCACCCCATCTGAATTAAATGCGTGTGCGGACCGTCTCCAGGCCGACCTGGAGGCGGCGAAGGGCCGAAAGAGGCCTCAGGGGGCTCCAGGAGGCCCCTTTCAGGATCCCTCGGATTTCTGGGCCGAACCCGTGCCCGTTCCTTGGTGATCGCGCCCAGGGTGGCGATTCGGTTTTCGGGCCCTCGCCCCTGTAGCCCGCGGGTCGCCGCGGTCCTCTATCGCTCGCTCGCCAGTGGTCACTGATCTTGGTCGGCATGGGAAATGAGAAAATGAGAGGAGGAGGAGGAGGAGGAGGAGGAGGAGGAGATGCTGGTCGAGCATCCTTGTGGAGCTTCGTGAGAGCCACAGGGAGCATCTCGGCTGCTTCGTGGGGGCCTCCCAGTGGCATTTGCGTGCCCGGCGAGCTTCTGGGGTCATATTTGATGATGCTGGGCCTCTGTACGTCTGAACGGGCTCTGTTCGGATGTCTTGGGGCCCTCATGGGACCATACTGGGCAGTCTTGGGGGCTTCTTGGAACCTCTCGGGCCGTCGTGGGACCCCTCCGATGTGCGGTTTCAAGGTCCCAGTTTGGGTGCGGGTGGGAGAAACAATATCACACGCCTGGTGACCTGGAATTGCTCGGTGGATTCTGTTATCGGTGGGGGAACATTGCCCCGTGTCCGCAACATCCAGTTCTCACTTGACGAAGATAATGAGATCCCGTGAGTCCAAGGCGACCTCGCGAAAGAGAAAGCTCGCAAGTCTGTAGAGCCACTGCCCCCTGGAGATCCCTTGAGAGGGCTTCGCGCCGAGTTCTTCGCCCCCGCAGCCACGAGACCAACTCTTGTGCTCTCTTGTCGGACTCAGCGCAGGAGAGTGGAGGGGGGTGGGACGTACGTATATGACCACCCTTCTGGTGATAAGGAGGTTGTGAGTGGGAAAGGGGGGGGAACCAACACCTGACTCAATCGATCTCACTATCGATCTCACTCAACCGGACGCCACGGGACACCACGGGACACTTGTTGATCTCACTATCGATCTCACTATCGATCTCACTCAACTGGACACCACGGGACACCGCGGGGCGCCTCTCGATCTCATTCTCGATCTCACTATCGATCCCACTCAACGGGACACCATAGGACACCACGGGACACCTCGGGACACCACATCGATCTCACTATGATCTCACTATCGATGTCACTATCAGTCTCACTATCGGTCTCACTGTAGGTCTTACTATCGATCTCACTCAACGGGACACCACGGGGCACCGCGGGACACCAGGGGACACCACCGGACACCGCGGGCCACCGCCGGACGGACGGAGGAGGAGAATCATTTGTCTTGTCTTCGCCCTAGCAACGGCGCGACACCAAGGGACACCATGGGACACCATGGGACACCGCGGGCCACCGCCGGACGGACGGAAGGCGGAGGAGCATCATTTGTCTTGACTTCGCCCCAGCAACGGTGGGTTCATTCCTCTCGCGCGCCCACGCAGCTTCGCCTCGACAGCACGAAAGACACGAACGAAACGAAACGATTCCCCCGTTCGGGGTCTCCGTTCCACTGCGAGCTCACCCCCCAACCGATCTTTCTTTTGCTGTTGTGCGATTCTGGCATACTCGCTGTCTCCGTCTTCAGCGCCTCCGAGATGGCCAAAGAGAAGGGGTCAGTCAGGAATATCGCCCCACGATTGTCCAAGTGGCGCTACGGATGGCCCCAAGAGGGGCTCAAGACGGCACGAAGTGCAAAGCTGCCATGAGCCGCCGAAGCAGTAGGTTGTCGCGCTGCGGAGATTGTTGGAGCTTGGGCTCGGCTCTCCGTTTCTCCCCCCGGAGCACGCCTCTCGTCGAGCTCTCGTGCCCTCAGGTCGCCCGGCTTCGAGGCCAGGAGGGGGCGAGACTATGCGCCACTTGAGTCGTTCTTGCAGGGGCTGGCCGGTCAGTGCCCATTTTGCCCTGGTGTCCGCTCGTGCCGCTGCGCCGTTCGGCAGACGCGGCCGCCTCGGCGGCAATCAGGGCGGGAGCTTGCCGCACCTTGTGGCTGGAGCCAGCCCGCATCCAGATTCCATTCCCACGAGGAGAGTGGGCGGGCGGAGTCGGACGGGTTCTGGCTGCAGAGGGACGAGAATGCGGCATTGGCTGAGCGTAGCGATGATGACCGCGGGTCTGCGCTGTGAGCAGGGACATCTATTGTGATGGTCGCGCCCACCGTGGTGTCGCGGGCCGGGTGTCCAGCTCTCGTTCGATTTGACAAAAACTACCTTCCGATGCCGATCAGGTTCCCTTTCAAACCCGAGCGGAGGCCACTCCGCGGCGTGGTCGCGAGGGGGGTGTCTTTGAGCATCTTGAGCCCCGTTCAGTCCCCTCCCCCTCCCCTTCCCCTTCCCTTCTTCTCTCCCCTACTGGTCGGGTGGGTCGCCACAGGACCGGAGGGAAACGATCTGCTCCAACGCCCTGGCCCCTCTCTGGGGAGGAGGACTGCAGGCCCCATCCATACGTGAGATCTCCCGAGCTGGATCGGCCTGCCATGGCGCGTGTCCACGGCTCCATGGATGGTGCACTCCGATGGTAGGTGTTCGATCATGGACCTTCTGTTGAGCGCAACCATCCAGATTTCGCTCCGAAATCCGGTAAACGCACGAACGGAGCCGCCCGGCCAAGACGGCACATGAGCTGCATTGCAAACGATGTGCGAAATAGAAAAACCGCATCATAGCGGCTCGCGTGCTTAGCTTACGCGAGAGGGGAGAGAGATTGTGGAGGAGAGGAGAAGAGGAGGAGGGGGCGAAGAGAGGGGCGCAGGACCGGCGGGGGGCAACTGTCAGCAGGCAAACCCCTATGAACAAGAACGGCAGTGCTGCCGCACAGTGGCCTTCCAGCTCTGGCGAGAGCCGTTACCATTCAACAGCGTTGCTGCTAGCCTATCTTCGTCCTGCTGCGCGGCGCTCAGTGCACGGGCCCTGATTCTCTGGCCCCACGACACCCTTGGGCGCCCTCGTTTCCGAGCGCCCCCCAGGCGTGTCAACATTGTGCCCGAAAACCGCTGGAACTCGCCAAAGACTGCCGGAAGCCACCGAAGACCGTCGGAAGACCGCCGAAGACCGCCGACGCCCGCCGAAAACCGTCCGCAGACCGCCGACGACCACGAAGCGACAGGTCACAGAGGGTCCATGGTCGAAGGCGTAACGATGGCACCATGGCGCCAGTCGTGGGTTTTGGCAGTGGCCGGAGGTCAGGCTCCTCGCGCGCGCGGGCGGTGAGCGGCGGTGGCGAGGCGTTGCCGCCGCAGTTGGCCTTCCCTGTGGGCGCGCCCCGCCCCGCCCCTTGGGCCCGAAGCTGGGAGGGTGCACTGGTCCGGTAGCAAATCGTGGGAGCCTTGTGTACCCGCGAAGTTCCGCCTCCAGAGCGCATTGGCGTCGTATAGCGTCGGGTAATCGATGGGACGGATGGTGTCGATGAGGGTCGATTGGCGCTGATTTAGCGTCGATTAGCGTCGAGTCGCAAAAGACAAACAAAATCGTATCGGGGGTTCTCATGAATTGCCACCGAAGCATTGGGGGCGTACGGCATGTTCGCGCCGCGTTGACGTCAGGGGAGGAAAGGACATCGATGCCAGTTATACGCCTGTCCCTGGTCGCCACGGCTCGACTCTCTTCGAAATCCTGGTCAGAAAGTGCCCCGGCAGAGGGCCGGGGAGTCGCGGTAATTAGCCAGATCTTTTTGCCCCCCTCGCCCCCCCAACATTGGGAGAGCAGGGCAGGTTGGCGTTGGGTTGACGTGGCGGGGACGCCCACGTTGGCGTTCGAGGTAGAATGCTGCCGCTGGCCCAGAGTCAGCTGGAAAAATCCGCGACCGTGCGTGATTGAACGATCCATGCGGTGTCAGAAAACAATGCCGAAGTCGCCGCGACGTGAACCAGCCGCAGGGGAGGAGAAGGTGCATTCACGCATCCCATCCCAGCTTGGCGAGTTGCTAGTTGATTGTGAAGTTTCAGCAGGCAAGGGGACGCGAGTCGCGTGCTGGCTCGCAGGATTTACACTCGGGCGGCCTGCTGGTCTGGTCCCGTCCTCGTGATGTCTGGAATCACGGTTTAGATCACAACATGGCAGGGCTCAAGACGTCGTATCCGAGAATCAATGCGCCCGCCATCCCGATTGGGAATCGTTAAGTCCTCCCAGATGACGGTATTCGAATACGCATAGGACTCCCAGACGAGTGTCAAGACCAACATACCTTTCGTACGGCTTGATGTCAACATTAACACAACCAAGATGTTTGACATATTTATTCGTTGCAACATGTATTCGAGATGCAACTTGAAGAACATGAGATTCGTGTATGTCAGTGTCTTGTTTTTGCCATTCGAAAGCGAAACATGTGGAGGCATTACTGAAGACGCCTACGCAACATGCCTATTGGAAACGCTCGTGTCGGCAATGTCGGACGACAGTGCGACAACGTGGGGCTCTTTGGGTTCGAGCAATCTTGAGCCGTGAGCCGCCCTGGGAGGCCATCTTGTGGGCCTCTCAGGGCCCTTTTTCGTGCCATCCAGGGCTGCCTTCTTGGAGCAGTCTTAAGCCGTCTTTGGGCTGATGTGGGGTCTTCCTGTGGCCTACTTGGGCCGTGTTCGGCTGTTATCGGGGACCTCTTTGGCCGTCTCCGACGCTCTCATCACCGAAAAAGGCAAAATCCGAAACACCTCAAAAGCACGAACGGTTTGTTGAATGATGTCCTCCTTGGGCCGGCCTCGAGGGCCTCTCCGAGCAGGGCCCAAGTGCCAAAAGACCTCCAAGAAAGCCTCTTCGACCCTCTTGGAGCCATCTTGGTCGTCTCGGAGGGTTCTGGATGCCGCATTTGGGACGAGCGCCAGTGGATGGCCCTGTAGTTGTAAAGGGGTCGTGTGCTCGCGGACGCCCCCCCCCCCACCCCCCTCCCCCCTGCAACGGGGGGGCTGTGTTCGGACCCCATCCCACTCCTCCGCTCCAGGGGGGAGCGGGTTCGGACCGCCCCCCCCCCCCTCCCTCCTTTTTGGGCCAGAGAGGGGGGGGGGAGATTTCGGACCCCCCCTCCCCCCCCTGTGTGCCGGAAAGTGTTTGGGGAGGGGAGGAACTTCTCCTCTCCTATCCCTATGTGCTGGTTGGGGTGTCAGGGTTTGGGTGTTGGGGTTCGGTCTAGGGTCGCAGGATTAGGTTTAGGGTTTGAGGGTTACTGCGTTTATGGTGTTTGTGTTAGGGTTCGGGTCAGGGTAAGGGTTAGAGCAGTAGTGTTTTAGAGTTATGGTGTTAGGATCATGGTGCTAGGATAGGGTGCTCGGGTTAGGGTGCTAGTGTTAGGATGATGCTGAGGCTCAAGGTGTTCGTGTTAGGATTATGTCAGTGTTAATGCTAGTGTCAGTGTGTTTGTGTTAGGGTGTAAGGTTTGGTTGTTAGGCTCAAGGTGTTCGGGTTCGGGTGCTAGGTGCTGCTAGGCATGGGTTTACTGGGTAGGATCAGAGGGTGTTACTTAGGAATCGAGTGTTCGGATGAGGCTATTAAGTTCAGGGTGTGAGTATTAGAGTGTCAGGGTGTTAGTACGCTGCCCTTGGGTGGGAAGGTTAGGGCTAGGGCGCTAAGGGTAGGGGTAGGGTGTCAGGGCTCAGGACTAGGGCGTTTGTAAGTTATGGTGTTAGGGTTACAGTGTTCGGTTGCGGGTGGTTTGAGGGTAGGAGGTTAGGGTTAGGGTCAGGGTATTAGGGCTAGCTATCAGGGAGCGGGTGTTAGGGTACGAGTACTAGGATTAGGGGGCCAGGGTAGGGTATGAGGATTATGGTGTTAGGGTTAGGTTGCGTGCGGTAGGATCAGGGGTAGTGTGTTAGATTCATGTTGTAGTTCGAGTGTTGGGTTACTGTTCGGCTGGACGGTTTCTGTTAAGGTTCAGGTTGGTGTTAGGGTGTTCGGGTTAGGGTTCGGGGCGTTAGGGTGTTCGGCAGGGTTAGGGTGTTGGGGTGTGAGGGTGTAAGGGTTAGCGTGTCAGGGTGAGGGTGCCAGGGTAAGAGCGTGATGGTTGGGGGGTTAGGGTTTGACTGTTCTGGTTAGGATGTAAGGGTGAGGTTGTTAAGGGTAGGGTGCTAGGGTTAGGGTATGTGGGGCATTGTGTTAAGGTTACGGTGTCAGGGTTCTGGTGGTAGGGTGTCAGGGTCAGGGCGTTCAGATAAGGGGTAGGATGCTAGGGGTAAGGCGTTAGGGTCAGAGTGTTCGGGTTATGGGTAGGGTGGTAGAGTTAGGGTATTGGGATTCGGGTGTCGGGGTGAAGGCGGTATGGTTTGGGTCGCGCGGTTTGGGTGTTCGGGGTAGGGCGGCAGGGTTAGGGGTAGCGTGTTAGGGTTAGGGTGTTGGGGTTAGGATCGGGGTGTCGGGTTAGGGTGTTAGTGTCAGGATGTTACGTTTAATGCTCTCGTGTTAGGGTAAGGATGTGAAGGTTGGAGCGTCTAGGTTAGGATGTTAGTGTTAGGGTGGGGGCGGCAGGGTTAGGTGGATGCGTTGAGGGTTTGGGCGTTAGGGTTTGGGTGTGCTTGGGTTAGGTTGTGGGCGTTAGGGTGCTAGGTAGGGGTGTTGGGGTAAGGGTGTTGGGGTTCAGGTGTTAGGGTTAGGCTGAGGGTCTTAGGGTCATTGTGCTCGGGTTAGGATATTCGGTTTCGGGTGGTCGGTCTGGTGTAAAGGCATTCGGGCTAAAGCCTCCTGGTTGGGCGTGTTGGGGTTAGGGCTGTTGGGCTAGGGCTTATGGTGTCAGGGATTTGGGTGTTGGGGTTAAGGTGTTAGGGTTAGGGCATCAGGGCTCGGGTATTAGGGGTAGGGCGGTAGGGTTAGGGCGGTAGGGTTAGGGGTAGGGTGTTACGGTTAGGATGTTGGGGCTAATATTATTGTGTAAGGTGTAGGGTCATGGTGAGCGTGTTGGTTTTAGGGTGTTAGGTTTAAGGTTAGCGTGTTAAGGTAATGGTGTTAGGGTTAGTGTGTCTGGGATGGGGTGTTAGGGTTCGGGTGAAGGCGGCAGGGTTCGGTGGAGGATGTTCGGGCTAGGGCGTTAGGCTTTGGGAGTGTTTGGGTTACGGTGTGGGTGCTAGGATGTCAGTGTTAAGGTGTTGTACGAACAGGGTGTTTGGGGGTTAGTGTTAGGCTGTTAGGGTCAGCCCTTCCTATAGTATCGACATCTCTTGTTATCGCATCAACGCGGTCTTGCATCCTCTGCACCCTTGGAACACACCTGGGCCGTCTCGTGGCGAGCTTGGGGCGTGCTTGGGTCCTGCTTCTATTCTCCTTTCTAAAAAGAGAATAGACTCTACCCCCCCGCCGGAGTTATCGCTACCCCTTTCGGGTATGTAAATCACATGATTCTGACTACATGCCCATCCTAAATATGACGTCACAATGTCCCAGGCCAACTGGGTTCCCCCCCTGAGGTTCCCTTGTAAAAAACACTGTGCGGTGACATTTGTTGCTCGAGCATAGCACTTTTTCACGAATCCCTTGCAACAAATGGAACGAAGTGCACACGCGCGCGTCGTCGCGCGCGCATGCCGAAATCCTTCAGAAACCTTCGGTGCCGCAAGGATTTCTCAATCGAGGTTCCAGACAACATACAAAAACACAGGGTTTCGCAACACAGATTTGCTAAAAAAGCTTACGCGCGAGCTCTTGCGAAATCTTAAGAAAACCACATGTTTTTCAAGATTTGCACAACATGCTACCAAACGGGCTTCGCGTGCGCATGTGTAAATCTGTCGAACGCCCTTGCGTGTGCCGTCGCGAGAATCCCCTGCAAAACATGAGACGAAGTGCAGACGCGCGCGTCGTCGCGCGCGTACGCCGAAATCCTTCAAAACCCATCGGTTTCGGAAGGATTTCAAAATCGTGTGTCCAAGAAACCAACAAACACAACAGGTTTCGCACCACGGATTTTCATCAAAAGCGTGCGCGCGCGCTTTTGCGTCGTCGTCGTCGTCGTCGTCGTCGTCGTCGTCGCCGTCCTCCCTCCTCCCGCGTCGTCGTCGTCGTCGTCGCCTACGTCGCCCTCTGTTTTTCCTCGTTTTCGTCGTCATCGTCCTCTTTGGCGTCGTGGTCGTTTCCGTCGTCGTTGTCGCCGTCGTCGTCCTCTGTCTTTCCTCGTGTTCGTCGTCGTCGTCCTCTTTGGCGTCGTGGTCGTTTCCGTCGTCGTTGTCGCCGTGGTCGTCCTTCCTCCTCCTCCCTCGTCGTCGTCGTCGTCCGTCGTCGTCGTCGTCCCTCCTATTTCGTCGCGTCGTCGTCGTCGTCGTCGTCGTCGTCGTCGTCGTCGTCTTCCCTCCTCCCTCGTCGTTGCCGTCGTCGGCGTCGCCGTCCTTCCTCCTTCTTCGTCGTTCGCGTCGTCGCCGTCCTCCCTCCTCCCTCGTCGTTGTCGTCGTTGTCGTCGTTGTCGCCGTCGTCGTCCTCCCTCCTCCCGCGTCGTCTTCGTTGGCGACGTTGTCGTCGGCTTCGTCGTCGTCGTCGGCGTCGGCGTCGTTGTTGTCTTCATCGTCGTCGACGTCAGCGTCGTCGTCGTCGCCGCCGTCGTCGTCGTCGTCGGCGTCGTTGACGTCGTCGTCGTCGTCGGTGTCGTCGTTATCGTCGTCGTCGGAGTCGTCATCGTCGTCGTCGTTGTCGTCGTCGTCGTCGTCGGCATCGGCGTCGTCGTCGTCGGTGCCGTCGTCGTCGTCGTTGTCGGCGTCGTCGAAGTCGTCGGAGACGTCGTCGGTGTCGTCGTAGTCGTTGTCGGCGGCGTCGTCGTCGTCGTTGTCGCTGTCGTCGTCGGCGTCGCTGTTCCTGCAAAGTGCCATTTGGTACCCACCGTCACGGTTTTAAGCGATTTTGCGAACCAAGTTGCGGGTGGGTGGGTGGGATGTTTGCGCGAGCAGTGGAGTGGACAACTCACTGCGAACAGAAATTAATTCTTTCCCATAAGATCGACCGCCTCAACAATATGATCGCATCAACGCGGTCTGATGTATCTGCTCCTTGACGCTTCTTGCGGCGACGAGGACGGTGAAGATGACGATGTGCATGCAGCTGCTGGTGGCGACGGCGAGATTCGGAGCGCCTGGGGAGCGATTGGAGCATCTGCGAGCGCCTGGGAACGTTCTTGAGACTTGGGATCTTTTTGTCAAGATCATCCGAGGTCTACCAATGCGTACTCGTTGCAGGGGTTCGTGGGCGTTGGATGGGTGTCACGATGATCAGCAGATGTGCACTTGAGTGTTGGACCTCTGGGGCTTGGCGGTTGTGTGTTAGGGTGAGGGTGCCAGGGCTGGGGTGTCAGGGCTTAGGATTTTGGGGTTAGGTTGGAAGTGTGGTAGAGGTAGGACGCCCATCGGGGGGGGGGGCGGCGCGCCGGCTGTGTACGTAGGGGGGAGGGGGGGTCTCCGATTTTCGACTCCAAGAGTCAAGAGGGGCTGGGGGGTGTCCAAATACTTCGCAGCCCCTTTCGACAAAGGGGGAGGCGCAGGGGGGGGACCTGGGACGACGGACCGGGACAGAGCGGAAGGACTGGGGTCCCGGGGCGACGGGCCGGGGTTAATGGGCGGGGAGGGGAGGGGGGTGCTGGCTCCCCCCCCCCTTCGGGCATCCAGCCGCGCGCCCTATCAAGTTTGACCACCTTGGAGCCCATATAGGCAACCTTGGATCGTGGACGCGATGTTTTTTCTTATTCTGCGCTCGTCTCGCGGCCTTCCGAATGGCCGACGAGCCGGGCCGAAGGTCATCGGACATTATTTCGCAGTATGAACCCAGAACATTTGGAGTGTTCTGCACGCCAAGTATTCTTGTTGTAAACGCAGGGGCGGCAGATCCAGAACACCACATAAAGAGCACCACGTGGGTTTCAACACGTAGCTTGTACCACGTGCGTTTCGTACGCTACACAATGTAGCCCACGCAAACTACACATCGTCACACAAAACGAATGCTGCACCACACAGCGATTGCACCACATGCTTTGCACAACGAGAATGCGGGAACTTGCTGTCTGGGGTCTGTGCTGGCTAGCGGCTAGCACAGTTCTCACATACCGGGAACCCTGTGCTGGGGGCCCGAGGCCGCAGCCCACCTGGGGCATCGGAGGCTTTGAGACGGGGGCCAATGCACACGGGGGGCGGCCAGGGTGCCGGATCTTGCAGGACCCTGCCGAGCCAGGGTTGCACTGACCCAGGCTAGCCTGCAGGATCCTGCAAGATCTTGCAGGACCCTGCGAGGCCTGACTTGCAGACCCGGGTTTGGATTGACCCGGGTCAGTCAGGCACCAGCAGAGGCTCCCAGATGGCCCCAACACGGTCCCAGGAGGCTCCCAGGCTCCCCCAGGCCAGGAGGCATTCAGCGCTACAAAGGGGCCCAAGAGGCCGCCGGCGTGCCCGCGCGAGAACTCCAAGAGGGCCGACCCCTAACTGCACCGCGGTTGGATTCATCTCGAGATCCGGGATATGTCCGAGAAGAGAGGGTATGGGTATATGTTTGTGTTCCCCCGTGCCTGGCCAGGGGGGCCGATGAAGGCGGACGCTCGCTGGCCAGCGAATTTCGCGAAGGAGGCCGCGCAGGGGAGAGACGTCGGCACACGGCAAGGAGGAGGGGGAGAAGGGGGACGAGAGAAAGGAAAGGGGCGAGAGAAGGCGAGAAATGGGGAGAAGGAGGGGAGCAAGGGACAAAAGAAAAGGAACGGGGGGAGGAGGCGACGGGGACGAGAGGAGGGGTGTGTGGGAGTAGGCATGGCGTGCGCGCGGCCCCGACCGAGGCGCCCAGCCATTGAGGTCGCTGGGGAACCTGGCGCGGAAGCAAGTGCCGGTCGGGCGCCTCCTATACCTGCACCCTGCCGCGCGCCCGCTCCCCTCTTCCCGCCCTCTCTGCTCATCCTGTCTTCCCCCCTCCCACTCCTCAGAGTGCAACTCCTGGGACATTGAATTCAGCCGCAGGCCCTCTTCCGGGGATGTGACCGGATCTGGTTTCTTGCGGTTTCGTTTGGGACTCAATCCAGCATGATCCATTCTATCCTCCTCTCTTTGCTGAGTCTCTCCCACGGAGGCCCTCCCAGGTGTGGCCTCCCACCTCTTACACACGCCCCGTGCCACTCTCTCCCGCCGGGGCTCGCCTGCGGAGGTCGCCGTGGAGGTTGTGGTGGGCGACGCACCCGGGCAGTCTGCGCAGCTGCTCCCCCAGGCCGCCGCCGGACTTTGCCACCGTCTCGGCTGAGGGGTTCGCCGTGTTCTGAGGGATTCGTGCCGCCCGCGTCGATACGTGCTGGATCGAAGATGGATCCCTGGACTCCTTGACGTTTTTGGACCTGTTGGGAACGGGTTTGGTTTTGACGTTCTTCCGTAGCTTGGGCCTCCTGGACGCTTCTCGCGGTTACGGCTGGAGTCCCTGCGACGTGCATTGGGCCATTGTGTGTTTTCCCTCGCCCAGCTCCGCCGATAGAGCGCGGCCTGCGTCGGCCCTCGTCACGCCGCCTGCGTCGCACTCTGAAGGGCCTCGGCTGGCAAGTACGCCCTGACGCTGACGCACGTTCGCAGGACCATCGATCCTGGCCAGAACGCGCCCCATGGCAGGCCCGCCAGGCCCAGACCCCCGGGCCACCATGTTTGGGCGAAAGCGCGGGTCCAGTTGCGCGCGGTGCCGGGCACCTGGCTCGTCGTGGACCGAGGCCGCGGCCCAGCCCTCTCGGGCGCTCTCTCTCGGTAGCAAATCATGGGAGCCTCGTGTGCCCTCGCAACTCCGTCTTTAGAGTGCGTTAGACCAGCGTCGATTGGCGCCGATTCGCAAGACGCAAGAGCCAACAAGATCTCGGCCTCCCGCACGGGCGCGATTCGCCTTAGCGCGTCCCGCTGTGAGATCGACCGCCCCGGACCATGTCCGTGGGCCGCTGACACCTCTTTGGGATGGATGTTTTCTCAAGCGCTGTCCCTGTGATTCGGGTGGAATCGTCGCCCCTGTCGGGCCTGGACCTGATCCAATGGCCTGCGTAGAGGGGAGGGGGCGACCACACGAAAGAAGGTGCCGAGCATGTACACCGGCCCCGCATATGTATGATGGCTCCTGGCGTTCTGCGATTCTTGGTGTTTGATTCGGTTTTCTTTCCAGCTTCAGTTCCTCATGTCTGCCTGCCCTGGGCGAAGCACGACGATACATCTGCGCTCCATTCAGACATGCGGGCACGTGTATGCGTGATGTCGAAGTGCCCGTGCGAGGGTCGATACTCGGCCGCGCCTTCACCAGCGGTGCCAGATACAGTCAACGCGGATGGCAAAGATGAGCGAATTTCCAAGGGTACCCTTTCATTGTTCCCTTCCGCCCCAGGAGACTGGCGGGGGGGCGGCGGGGGGGTCAGTCGCGGGGTAAGTTGGGCTCAGGTCCAGTGTTCTTGTCCGTCTTGTTTCAGTTGTGTTTCAGTCTTGAATTCGTCTTGTTCCCGTATTGTTTCAGTCTCTGTTTCAGTCTTTGTTGCAGTATTTGTTTCAGTCTCGTTTCAGTCATGCTGCAGTCTTTATCCAGTCATGTTTCAGTATTGCTTCAGTGTTGCTTCAGTGTCGTTCCAATGCTGTTTCAGAAGTGTGTCGGTCTTGTCGGCCGACACGAATACCGGCACCATATTGAAACAGGACTGAAACAATTGCGACGGGGTGGGAAACGCAATTCTCCTCGCGTCCCGTCAGACCACCATTCCTGACGAGAAGTGTGGCGAGTTCCGTTCCACCCCCAGTCGCAATTCTTGCAGTCTTCTTTCAGTATTGTGTCGGTGATCGTGTCGGTTGGAATACCCTGACAATATTGAAACGATATTGACATACATTTCAAACAAGACTTGATGACAACTGAAACAAGACACTCTTCTGAAACAAGGCTGAAACAAAGACCGACACACGACCAACACAGCGTTGGACATCGTAATCATGATCTCCCATCACATGAACACCCCAGCCCTTCGGCCCATCCCTTGTCATTTTCGCTGGCCGCGCCCCGTTCGAAACGCGTCGACATGGCATTCCAAGGCCCTGGCATCCTTATTGTGCATCTTTATTGTCGCAGACGCCCACCGCGAACCACCGCCGCCCCCTGCCTTTTGGCATCGCCGAGGTGGCCGAGCGTTGTGGCAAGAGCTCTGCCAAGCTATCGGGCCCCGTGTTCCCCCAGCCGCTGTGGAATCCTTTCGGGGAACACTTGGGAGAGGATGTCGGGGAAGATCAGGAGAGGGAGGAGGAGGAGGAGGAGGAGGAGGAGGAGGAGGGACATCTTGGGAGCCTCGGGCAGCACTCTTGGGGCCTCCTGGGATCTTCCTGGGTGCCTCTTGGAGGCATCTTGGGGGCTTCCTTGGGCCTCTTGGGGGGGCTTCTCGGGGGCCTCTTTGACCGCCTTAGGGCATTAATCGCTCCCCTAACGCTGTCGGAAGCCGTCTTGGGGGCCCCTCTGGGCCGACTTGGGCGCCTCTTGGGGTGCTCCAGGGCCATCTTGGAGGCCATTATGGGCCGTCTTGGGGGCCTCTTCGGCCGTTTTGGAGCCATCTTCGAGTCTTCTTGGGCGATCTTGGGGCGATATTTGGATGCTACTGGGCCGTATCGGGCCGTCGGAAGACCGAAAAGAAGCACATGCCAGAATTCTTCAAAAACCTTAGGGACATCAATGATTTAGACTTCTCTGGGCCTTCCTGGAGGTCCTCTTGGAGGCCTTTGGGGCAGTCTTGGAGACCTCTTCGGGGACTCTTGGGCCGTCTTGGGCCGTCTTGGGCCATCTTGGAGCCATCTTGGAGCCATCTTGGGCTGTTTTGGTGGGGTCCTGTCCCTTCTGACGCCGTCGGAACTTTAAAAGAGTTAAAAGGGGGTCGTATATATCGAACGTGCTATCCGCCGCTCAAGGTAGCGCTACTCAATTTGCGTGCCACACGACAGTGGGACACGATCGGCTCATTACATCAGACAAATGCCACTCTTATCAATGACTCCATTTCATCGCTTGTCTAATATAGGTCGTATTACCTGCCATCAAAGGATGAGTTTTGGGATACCTCGACACGTCTACGACGCTATCCTTCGAGTAAGGTTTTTTGCTGATTACCGCATGGTCAAGTACTTGTACCTTGCTTTTCTCTTGGTAGCGGATCTGGCCTCGTCTTTATGTGGTTGGGTATTACATCAGGTGTTTTGTATATAACACTTTACCACGGCGCAGTGGAGTACCAGACTGCGCCGGTTCTCAACCACTGCACCCCCAATAACCTTCAACCACTTGGCAATTTACATTCCTACACCTCCATCTCCCCCCCGCGTAGAAACACGCCAAGCACAGACCACGTACCTACACCCATCCGCAAACTGACGGCCACGTCAGACCAAACACCCAGTCGCAATCCCATCGATGCGACAAACACCAAGGATACGACACCTGACGTCATCAGTTCTATGACCATGCATCATATCAAGGTTGCTATCTTTGGAATCATATGGGCGTGCGCAGGTCTGGCAGTGGAAATTGATGGGGTCCCTTTTGGGATCTCGCAGACAACGCACCCTTCCGCGACTTTGCTCGAGAAGTACATGCGTGGCTTAACGTCGCGAACGGAAACATGACTCCATCTCAACAGGCTGCTGCATTACAGCGCGGCCTGGGGGGCTTAGCTAGGACATCGGCTATGAGGGCGCCGCGTACCATCACCACCTCCGGCGTTGCCTGAAAGGGTAGACGCGCTGACGGAGTCACATACATCATTATATACGAAGCACCAAATGCGAATTTTGAGGATGAGCGACAGCTCACCCCGGGCACTGCCCTCATCGATTTCAGGGTCGAAAGGGGCGAACGCATTCACTCAGTGCTGGACCGATTCGAGATGGCCAGACTGGAAGCGGACTCAGCGGGCTTCCCCAGCAATTCAGCCAACACGCTCAGGGCGTGCTAAGCCTACCCATTTGGGCCTCCCCCCCCTCGCGCGGCCCATCAACAAGGAACAGTAGGCAGCAAGAAGCAGAACTGTAACAGTGGAAACTGGAAGCTGCAACTGGTACAGAAAACTGCGAACCTTCGGCCTACAGCCTGGTGGCCCCACAAGGGGGCCGGCTAATTTTGGCTTCGTCGGCCTCTCTTGGACGATGTATTGGAGACCTCTTGGGGCTTCTTGGGCGGAATCGGAGTCAGCTTGGCGCCGTCTGGGGCCGTCTTCATGGATTATTCGGCAAACTTGGAGGCAACTTGGACCATCTTGTGCCACCTTGGAGGCCATCTTGGGCCAACGCGACCATCTTAGAGGCCATCGTGACCGTCTTGGAGATTTGTTTGTGGACGTTGTGCTCGTTTATGGTCCCTATCGGGTGGCCCGTGCGCTGGGCCGAAGCCCCAGCAGCCGTCATGGCGAGATGTTGGACGTCTCTTGGGCCGCCCTGGGCCGTCAGAACGTCGAACGGAAGCGAATGCCATCATTTAACAAACAGCCTAAGGGAAACCAACGGTGTGGGCATCTTCGAGCCCTCCTGGAGACCTCTTGGAGGCCTCTGGAGCCGTCTTGGAGGCCTCTTAAGGATTTCGGGGCCCGTCTTGGTCCGTCTTGGGGGCTTCCTAAGGCGCATTTGGAAGCAGATTGTGCCGCCTTGGAAGCCATATTGGACCATCTTGGGCGAGTTTGGAGGCCTCACGGGGCCGTCTTGGAGGCGTTTTGCGCCGTCGTGGGGTAATATTGGAGGCTTTGGGGGCCATTTTGGGGCGATATGTTGGGCCTCTTGGGGCGTCGTGGGCGGTCGGGAAGCCGAAACCACGAATATACCAACAGCCTTCAAGCATCTAAGGACAACCAATGAGTATGGCTTCTTCGGGCTCTCCGGGGGGATGGCTTGGGGACATGTTGGGTGCCTCTTGGGCCGTCTAGGGCCATCTTGGAGGCTCCTTGGGCGGACTCAGAGTGATCTTGGTGTCGTCTTGGGCCGTCTTGATGGCTTCTTCGACAAACTTGGAGGCAACTTGGACCATCGTGTGCCACCTTGGAGGCCATCTTGGGCCAACGCGACCATCTTAGAGGCCATCGTGACCGTCTTGGAGATTTGTTTGTGGACGTTGTGCTCGTTTATGGTCCCTATCGGGTGGCCCGCGCGCTGGGCCGAAGCCCCAGGGGGGTTCTCTTGGAAGACGAACTAAAGCCAAGATAATAATACATCCAGCACGCCAGGCACCTCTGTGGCAAACCAACAGAGGGCGGCGAATCGACGACGCCTACGGCGAATCACCGCCGCCCCCTGCCTTTTGAAATCGTCCATGTGGCCGACCATTGTGGCAAGCGCTCTGCCAAGCTATCGGACCATGTCTTCCCCGAACCGTTGTGGAAATCCTTCGGGTAACACTCGCGGGAGGATGGCGGGGAAAATCAGGAGGAGGAGGAGGCGGAGGAGGAGGAGGGGGCATTTTGAGAGCCTCTGGGGACACTCTTGGGGCCTCCTGGGAGCTCCCTGGGGGCCTCTTGGAGACATCTTGGGGGCCTCCTTGGGCCTCTTGGGGCATTCGGGGGCCTGTCGGGGGCCTCTTTGGCAGTCTCAGGGCTTTCCTGGCCTCTTGGGGGCCTGGCTGGGCCGACTCGAAACCCTCTTGGGGTGCTCCAGGGCCGTCTTTGACGCCATCTTGGGCGTCTTGGAAGTCTCTTGGGCCGTATGGGGGCCCTCTTGGGGCCGTCTTGGTGGCCTCTTGGGCCGTTCTAGGGCCGTCCTTGAGGTCTGTTGGGCGATATTTCGGGGCTCTCAGGCCGTCCCGGGCCGTCGGAAGGCCGAACAGAAGCAAGTGCCAAAATCCTTCAATAACGTAAGGAACATCAATGATATTGGCCTCTTCGGGCCTTCTGGAGGCCCTCGTGGAGACCTTTTGGGCCGTCTTGGAGACCTCTTGGAGGCCTCTTGGAGGCCGTCTTGGGCCACCTTAGAACCATCTTGGGCCGTCTTGGTGGGCTGCTGGCCTGGCCCATCTGACGCCGTCGGAAGCTGTTTCCGGGCCCTCTGTGTCCGTGGCATGGGTCGCCCGCCAGGTGTACGTCCCGCCGTACTGCCCGCACCGGGTGGCCACCATCCCGAACGTAGAGCACCTGACCCCGGACGCGGTGCGCAGCCTCCTGAGCGAGGATGCCGAGCGAGCTGCAAGCCAACGCCGCCCGAGGTTTTCTGTGAGTGGCTCGGGGCGCTGGCAGAATATCTTACGCGGGTTGGCCTCGTCTCGCCAAGACTTGCCAGGCACGAGGCGGCCGTTCTGAGAAGGGTTCAGGTTCAGAGAGTGCAGGGCGCAACAAAAAACGTCGGTTTCGTGGCAGACAGGAAAGCTCGTTCAATACAGGCCCACTGCCACCTGTCCCCCTCCTTCAATGGGGGTGCGAGATGGGCCATCTGATTTCGGGTAACCTCCTGGCACGAGCCATCTTCGTGGCAGCTCCGCTTGGTGCGGCGACACCACGCGGGAGCCGCGTGGCTGGCTCGTGTAGGGTGATCGCCTGAACTCAGCAAGGTCATCTTAGCCCACTTGTGAAGTTTTGCAGCCCAAATCCTGTCCGCCGCCAAAGAGCTCGGAGTTGCAGGAGTTCACCAGTGAGGGCTCACCCTGCTAGAGCCCGCTCGTGATGTCTGAATTCCCACCGCTGCTGTTGCCTCCCCATGATTGGACTGGCAGGGGGTAGGGTTCACACATGGCTGCCTATTGGCCTCCATCGGATCGAGGCTGAGCTCTTCAGCAGGACCCCCGTCGGGCCCTGTCCTTGCAGAGGCCCACAAACCTGGATCCTCGTAGGAGCGGCAGAATTCCGAGCCGCGTTCAGTCGAGGCTTTCCTTCCCGCCTCGTGCGTGCCTGCATGAAGGAACCAGGTCCTGAGGGGAACGTTCCGGGATCACGGGGCCTTTTCTCCTGGGGTGCAGTCTCCCGTCCTGAGCCGTTCTGTGGGCAGTTCCGGGGCCTGGCGAGGAGGCCGAGGGCTGCGAAGAGCCTCGGTCTTGATTTTTCCCAGCACGCCCGAGGACCGGGTCCCACGCGTGCCTGCCTCCGTGCGCGGCCGCACGGCGCGGCCACACCTCGGCCCGTGCGCCGGCGCGCCCGCGCGCGGCCGACGCGTCGGCGGGCCGTCAAGGAGAAGTGCCTCCTCGTCGACCTCCGGGGCGAGGACGCCGCCGCCGGCGCGGCCCGGGGCCAGTGGGTCGGAAGTGGTTGGGCCGTGGGGCGGGTTCTGGTAATTGCGGCCTCCCCATGGCTCTGCCCCCTCCTGGGAGGGAGGTCACTGGTCCCACGTGGCATGCCGCGAAGAAGAAAGCCAGGACGCTGTGGTCGTAAGAAATGAGGTGCCCCAGCAGTTGTGACAGGGACGTGTGGCCGTATGCTGCAAGTTTGTCCACAATCAGTGGGCGGAGCAGCTTTGCAGCATCAGGGCGGGCATCGTTCTTCTTGGGATATGAGAGCAGGGCGGTTTGCCATGATGGGCCGAGTGCGACTCCCGACTCCTCTTCCCCCTTCTCTTCTTCCTCCCCGTCGTCTTCCACAACCCGTCAGCACCTCTGCCTGAATCGTCAACGTCCCCTTCTCCCCAGTCCTGTTCCTCATGTCGCTCCTGCCCGACCGCCACCTTCGCCAGCACCACCTGCCTCGCAATCCCTTTTTCTTCCTCTCTCTCTCTCCCCACGTGCATGCCTTCGATGGTTCAAAACGCATGTGATAAATCAATTCTCTCTAGGCGTCAGCCTGGGCGGAAATTATGGTGCCACCCCGAATTGTCACAAGTGCTTGCATGAAAGGGGAGAGACAAGGGAGGTGGAGGAGGGCGAGGACGGATGAGGGAGGAGGAGGAGGGGGAGGAGGAGGAGCAGGGAGGGAGGGAGGGAGGGAGGAAGGAGGGAGGCTGGAAGAGGGGAGATCAGAGTTTTTAAGCCCAGCTGCGAGCATTGCGTGAGCCTTTCTCAATGGCCTCCGGGGGACGGCGCAGGGTGGCGGCCCCCGAGGGGGGACCTCCCAGGAAGGAAGCACCGACGAGTGCAATGAGCAGGCAGCCTAAGCTCAGGCTGAGCACCCCTGGTGACGGCCTGGTAGTCGTGCTGGTCTGAGAAGACGTCGAGAAGAGAAGGGAACACTATGAAGAGGAAAGATGACAGGGACAGAGACAGCTGTTTAGACATTGCTACCGCTGCGGGCATCACTCGTTATTGAGATACCACTGAAGTTCTTTCTGCGTCCCAATCTAGCGCATCGCATCGCAGCGTGAGGCTGGTGCCTGGTCATTGATTGGGTGTTGACGATCATAGGCTCATTCGAGCTGGAGTCTTTGATAGGTACGTGCACATATGCATTCTAAGCGAGATAATCCATCCTAGTGCACCGCAGGAAAGCCTGATGCGAGCGAGCGGCATGATATTGAGATGGTGAAATTAACTCGTTGGATAATCTCGTGAGGCCACAACTGCATCAAGAGAGGGTCGGCAGATGTACAGGGACCCCCCGGCGACAACCTTTCGATTGTAGGCATGCTGTGCCAGGGCCTAGGAGGGTCGAAGTTGCTGGTGTGTCTGTGCCCCCTGGCGCGGTCGCTGGCGCTCTGTAGGGCCTGCCGGTGCCTGAGGAAATTTCCGAACCCGCAAGTGAAAAAGGCCGCTAAGTACAGACACGGGACACATCTGTCACGACCATCTCGCACGCATAAACGCTAGGAGCGGGCGAGAATATGACTGGGCGCGGATAGGTAACACATCCCAGGCCCCCCCTCGGCAGGCGCACGGCGTCCATGTCGTGAGCGTGTTTCTTCCCTTCCCGCGCGCTTCCTCCCCCCGGCCGCCCTTCGTGCCCAATTCGGCCACGTGCACCCCACGTTTGTCCTGGGACGAACGCGGCTAGGATTCTCGCCGCTTCGACCAAGAAGTGCTGCGACTGAGCAGGGGCCGCGAGGTATGGCGAGCAGTCACATGCAGTGCGTGCGCTAGCGACAGAAAACAGCAGGCTGGCCACGGAGGGTTCCCGGGGGCTGGCCTGGCCTTCAGCACGGGCAGGGTGCAGGCTGGCAGCGGCCCCGTTGATTGATGCAGCCGGCACACGGGTCGTAATCATGTAGGCCGCGGCCCTGCGGCGGAGCGCATCGTCTCGTGCCTGCGAGGGGGCGGCTCAACAGAGCCGTTGCGATTCCTCCAGTTGTGACATACGCAGTGCGCGCAATAATCTTACAATATTAGGAAGTCGTTCACGGGAGCTTTCGCTCATCTTGGATTGAATGCGTATCGGCGTGTAGCGCCCAACAGCTAATAAGCGCCCGTCGGCGCGCACACTAGCGCCGAATAGCGATCAAGTTGCGCCCAATAGCTCCGGTTGAGGCAGATGCATCATGTCCGCTTTGCGCCCGATTGGGCGCTGTATTGGGCGCCATGGGGACGACCAACAGATTCTGCGAACTGATTTCTAGTACATACCCAGCAGCAGGGGGGGCACCTCAGCAGCAGGTCTCCCCACCAGGTTCCCCGTTCTCATGTGGTGTGCGAGAAGCTGCTCCGCCGGGCGCTGTGTCCTCCCAGTGGCGGTGGTGGCAGACGCACAGGAGGCGGAGGAAGAGGTGGACGTCTGAACCGCGGCATTGGCAGCAAGGGGCGTTTTCAAATCTGTAGACTGCGTGATTGGCTGCGGGCTCGGGTGCGGAAACATGCTGCGCGCGCGCCTGTGTTGGCATCATATGCCCTGCGACGGACGTGAAGGGGCTGCGCTGACGCGTGCTTGCACAGACTGGCAACGGAGGGCTGGCAGAGAAAATCGCATGCTGCTGGCCGAGGTTGGCCCTGATTGAAGGCAGGCTTAGAGCTGGTGATGCCTGGGCGGACACGCCGGAGCTCTAGGCAACGTCTGTTGGCAACCGTTGGTTATCACGGGTTTGGGCTGTTTGCGGGCTCGATGACACTAATCCGTGGTGTGGCTGGTACACCAGGGAAAGGGAATTCCATAGTTCTGCCCATTGCCGCGAGGCGGGAACCAGCCGTGCGAAGGAGGGCCAGGTCTGCTGAGGGCGACGCCGGGGGGGGGGTCCACGCTATTGCTCCAGCGCTTCCGGCCTACGAGCTACGAGCCGCCTGGTGACCATGAGCGCTAACGCTACTTCGGTGCATGTTGGGGTGACGTCCCAAGGCTGGAGCTCACGGCGGTGTCGGTCCAGCCTGCCAAAGAGGGCCTGTGCCAGACTCTGTAATGGTGCGTGTGTCACGTGTGTGTATATGCGTCACTCGCTGCCGTTTGACCTCTATGGGCCCCTTTTTGCCATTGCGCTAAAACGCATCACGATCACACTGGTAGCGGAGCTACCACATGATCCCCGTGTCGTACCACTGCGCGCACGTCTCGTCGGAGAGTGTCGCATACCTCTCTGTACTTTCTGTACTTGCAGCTTCCCTCGCTAGGGGACTGAGCCTTGCGCCATGGCGCTTTCTTCTCTTCGCAATCGGCCGAGCGCCGACGCGCTGCTCTTCGCAATCGGCCGAGCGCCGACGCGCTGACGCGGCCCGAGACGAAGAGTGGGTCCTACGTCTACGACTGCACGGTGAACAACTTTCACGAGTGGGAATTCCGCACAAAGATGCGCATGAGCGCTGCCTTGGCCTCAGTGGATCAAGAAACGGGTGCACACGGCAACGCGTGATCACCGCAGCTGTCAACAAGCTTGTCGAAGGCCTCAGAGGTGACGCATTCGATATTGCCATGGGTATCGGCAAGGACGCGCTTCTGACTCTGAATGGGACCGATCAGCTGTTGCAGGCGATTCGTACTCCACTCTTCCCCACAGAGGCGAAGGAAGCGAATATCCTGTTCCAGGTGGCCACTGTCTCGGCAGAACGGTGAATCTATGGTCTCGTGCATCTCCCGAAGGAAGCGCCCGTGGAAACTTGTCTCCAAGTTAGATCCTAAGATCTTGATGAGCGACGATGTGCTTGGCCCCCTTCTCATGGACCATGCAGGCCTCTCGCCTTTGGAGAATCTGAGGAGCTGAGCCCCCGCCGGTGCTGCGCGCCCGGCTATGCGCCAGTGCGCGGCTGGGACGGCGCGGCCCGGGGCGACTACGCCGACGAATGCACCTGTGTCGACGGGGAATCGCACGCCCACTGGGCTCTCGTCCAGGATAGCAGCGAGCTCGACGTCGAGGCGGCCGACGAGATGGTCAAGGCCGGATGCGCGGAGGAAGCTTCTGACGCGATCCAAGGGGATTCGGTCGCCAACCGCGGCGCCCACGGGGGGGGGCAAGGGGGGGGGGGGGGGGGGGGGGGGCGGAGGCGAGGGTTGCCACCGCGCGCCCCGGTCGCCCAAGGGAGGCGGCAAGTAGGAGGAGTCGGCTTGCAGGGGGGGGCGGGCGCGGGGGGGGCGCCAACGACCGCGCCGATTCCATCGCGGCCCGCTGCCCCTTCCCGGGACTCTCAGGAATCCTCCGGGCCCAGTCGGCCTCGCAGTCGGCGCCGGCGTCGCGTCGCCCGCGAGCGCCAGCCGGCGGGCGGCCGGCCTTGTTGCGCATGTTTGGCGCGAGAGACCCGCGCGGGCCTTGCGCTGTGCCCGCGCCCCAGGGCGACGGCCCAGGCCCTAGTAGCCTCCCGCGCTGACGCGATGGCCTCGCGCGCGGCGCAGGAGCGGGCGCCGCCGACCGTTCGGGTCGGTTCCGCGCACTTCTCATGCGAGAACGCAAAGTCCCCCATGCTGCGCGCGCTTTGCGCGCTGAGCAATGCGATGCAGTTGCGACGGCCGCGCGTTCAATTGGAAATCGCAACGCAAGTTTCCATTCCCGCGCGCGGGACGGGTTATGAACTTACAGATGCGCCGACGGTCGAGAACTCGCGCGCGCGCCCGCGCCTGCCATGTGGGGCGCGCGCACTGGGCCCGGAAATCTGCGGCTCGGCCGCCCGATGCGCCCCAAAAATCGCTCCGCCTCCCCCCCCGCCCCCCTCCCCCTCAAAACTCCCCCGCGCTCGTGGAAAAACCGCGCCGCCGAGGCGGGAGCTCGGGCCGCGGCCTGATGGTCCCCGGGGCACAGGGGAATCAAAGGAATCAGCACGGAATCAGTGCAGAATCAAAACAGAATCGGCACAACTGCGACCCCTGATTCTAGCGGAATCAAAAGAATCAGTACGGAATCAATACGAAATCAAAGGAGGAATCGGCGAT